TGTTCAGGTCCTGCTTTTAGTTCTTTTGGATATATACCCAGAAGTAGAATTGCTTGGTCACATGGTAATTCTGTGTTTAATTTTTTGAAGAACCACCATTCATTCTGTTTTCCACAGTGGCTGTACCATTTTACGTTCCTACCAGCAATACACCAGGGTGCCAGGTTTTCTGCCTGTGAAACGAGAGCATTATTTCCCCAACCAGATGACTTGATGCTCTTTCACCAATACGGGTATTCTCTGCCTGGAAGCTAGATAAAAATCGGAAGACTGCTTGCTCTCTTCAAAAGAAGAGATGTGGAAGCCTAATCATCCAGCTCCATGCTACTGATCCTCATGCTCATGGGACTGATAGCATCTCAGGAAGCCCCTGAGAAAACACTGCCCATGGCTGTCTCTCCCTCTTCTCTGCTTCCATTCTGCCTCCTTTAAATGACGTTTTATACACTGTTGTTCTTTTTCATGATATATTTACTTTAGAGTTTAACTCTTAGTGGACAGGATTATTTCCCTGTTTCCAGGTTCTTGGCAAGTGCTTCATTTTAGTCCCTAATCATTACCTAGATAGCTGACATAGATGTTTTTCCTTCAGGAAAAACACCCAAGTAATATTCTAAACTTTGATTTCTTTCAGTCTAGACAATTAAAGAAAAAACGTATTTTCCAAGATTAGTGTACCTCTCTGAGTCTGTGTTCTCTATTGGGCACATGTCTTTGTTGGTACCTCCTGTCTTTCCAGGTTTATCTCTTGAGGCAAAGACATTGACACTTTGAGTCCTGCTACTTGTCAAGAGTCTTGGCACCAAATTGCTTAGTAGCTGGCATGAGTCCAGGATAGACTCATCTGAAGGCTATCCAGTTTGTCTTGGTATCTTAGACAATTCTGCAAGACCATCGTGAATGCCAAGTATCACCACACTGTCAGTTGTAGAATGATTTTTAGTTCCATAGAGAAAGGCTGGGGATAGTAAAGAAGTGTATAGATTATCTACATAGAAAAGAGAAGTATTATTATGATGTTACCAGTATTAAAGATTTCTTTCCAGAGTAACCATGTACATGTCATCTAGCTATTCAATTACTTTTATTCTTGATGACAAGGTAATTAATGTTGAGGAGCACCATAGAACATTACATGACCAAGGAGACTGTTAAGTTCTGTAATCCAAGTCTGGGTATTCTGACTATGTAAACAAATAAACCGGCTGTCTGAGTGAATCCTAGAAAAATTCTGTTTATATGAAAAGATGGGAATAAATTATCTGAAGGCAAATTAGCTATTTCCTTTATCATTTTTTACTAATAATATGTGCATAGGTCCCTGTGAGCCTCTTGCTTTATTCTACACTAAAATTAAGTGGTTATTGATTTCATTACCCCAGGAAGGAATATTTTGAGTAATTTTTTATGTCTGTACGGAATGTGAGCTTAAATTAAAATTGGCCAATCCTTAATTTATCTAAAAAATAATGCTGGGTTTAAAAATAACAATTAAATAAAACTGGGTTTTGTTAATGATACAGTGGAAGTAAACACTGGTTTTAGACTCAGGAAATGTGGATTAAAATGTAGCTGCTACCACTCTTAGAAATCATTTGGTTTTAGAGAACAGAAGCCCATTCAAACTAGCTTCAGTAAAAAGGAATGGATTTATTGGAGATATATAAAAGTGTTTTCCAGAATCCAAGAATAGGAACTGTGACTGCTAAATCTTGTCACAAGTTACTGTCACTGTCTCACTGGAAGCAAATCATCTCTGTTTCTCCCTTCACATCTGCTCATCTTCCCCTCCCTGTCCCTCCTTTGCCTTGCCTTTTTTTTTCTGTTTTATTGTGTACAGGCCCAAGCCCTGGTTTTAACATCCTTTCTTATTTTTAGCATTCAACAAAAACTAACCTGGTTTTCCAGTATACAAATTCCTAGTTTCTGAGAGAAAATCCAGTGGACTCAGTTTAGATCAGGGATGTTCCTCTTACTCAGTCCATTTTAGTGAAGGATTAGGATCATAGTGGTAAGTGGAGTTGTGTCTTCTGGGTCTATGGAAGGGGAGCTTCTCCAAGAATGTGAGTGTGAGAAAGAAGTAATTGATAGAAAATGGGTGACATGTCTAGAATAATACTTATTATCTCTGTGACCTTGACTGGATCACTTAGTCTCAATTAGTCTCCATTTTCTCACCCTTAAAGTGAAATAATGATGATCTCCCTCTGACTAGTTTTTGTGACAGATAAGACAAGGTACACAGAAACTTTTCTAAATTAGAAAGCTTTGTAGTAGAGTTAGGAATAAATCAAGTAAATAAGTTATTTAAACCATACCATATGTGCTTTTCTGTGAATTAACAGGATCTATTTTGGAAGTAATACTTGTATAATATTATGCTGAATTCCATTATAGTCATCTATAATAAATTATTCCAATTAAAAGTAGATCCAAATGGCATATAACTACACAGCAAATTTTTAATAGATTCGGATTAGTTTAATAACAAAATGCATATAAATTGTTTTAAAGCATAGAGTTAGATATAGATTCACAAAGCAGCAGAGTTTTTGAGCTCCTACTATGTGCTAGGCCCTATGGGGTACAAAGAAGGCTGCAAGGCTGCTAAGGAATCATGGGGCTCCTTTTCCCAGGAGCTTTTGTAAGCTGAGAAACATGTACACCAAGAGAAAATGATAAAAGTAATAATAAGCAGTACATGGTAAATGCAAGTTAGACTATAGTGTTTCATAAATTAAAGAGGTCATTGAAGGCTGTGATGGTCATGGAAAGCAATCTAGAAGGAGCTAGGATCTCAAACATGAATAGAATCAAATAGGGAAGCAGGTAATGGAATGCAAAGTCTTATGAGTCAGTTGTCTGGAATGGAACTTTTTTGAATAAGAGGATATATTGTGACTGAGGGGTAGTAAGTATAATCTGCACAGTTCAGACTATATCCTGTGAGTTTTTGAAGGTTCTGGAACAAAGGAATTATATTATGGATGCAGTATTTTAGACAGCTGTTTCCCTGGTGCCAGTGAATAAGATGGGCTTGCAAAGAAGAGTCTGGTGGCCTTGTCTTCCAACCCCCATGCCTCCTCCCAAGAAAAAAACTAGCACAAATTCTTTAATGATGGGAATGCTGATTGCCACCTAAGATAGATTGCATATTATATATTCCAATCCTTCTCATTTTCCTTAAACATAGATTGTTTTCCAAATTACAATTATTTTCATTTTGTCATTCTTAACCTACCATGTCTCCAGATTCTTGTTTAAGGCCAACATAAAGCTTATTTTAGTAAATTTTACTGTTTTAGCATAGAAAATACTAAGGAAAAGATTAGACCACATAAGTGCTTATCAGATCTAATGTGGATTCATTTTCAGTGACTACACTTTGAATCAACTTTCCTCACTTATGTGAGCTCTGAGTTGACACTGCACTCAACGGGGGTGCCTTGAAAATACTTTAGAACTTTAAGTGGTAAATGCCTGAGCGTTTTCCCTTTGTTGCTTTTGGTCAGCTGTGTCATCATTTGGGAAATGTCAGGGTGGAGGAACAGCCAGTGCTGCTTCATTAGGCCCCTACTGGGTTGTCAGGTGTCCCACCACTGCCACTACCATCAGTAAGAACCAGGGTCTAAGAGGGGACTTGCTTAATGACAGCTTTCTCCATTCATGACCATGTATACTGGTATTAGCCCTTTAAAAATAAAATAAGTGTGTCATACATTCTGAAAAAACTTCTTAGAGATGAGGTGAGGTTGGCTAAGCCCTACAAAGATGGCAACAGAATTTTCTTTTAACTCTTCGTTTTGACTTGATTTTAAGCCACCTCTTCAGTGTGTCTGTGTAATGTGATTATAATGCTTTATATCTTATCAAGAGTCTTTGATCGTATATCAGCACTCCGGCTTGAGGGCCTAAATCTTCAGATCCAGGGATTAAGAGAGAGGAAGGGAAGGAGAGAGGGAGAGGGGAAAGATGAAAAAAAGAGGGGGTGCCTGACTAGGTTGGTCGGTGGAGCATGTGACTCTTGATTTCTGGGTTGTGAGTTTGAGCCCCATGTTGGGTGTAGAAGTTACTTTAAAATGAAATCTTTAAAAAAGAGAGGGAGAGAAAGAATATGTGTGTTTTATAGGGAGAATATTCCTTATTTTGAATTATTAGAATCATTAGAGAAAGGGGTGCATTGAAATATTTATTATAGGTAAGATGAGTCATTCTGGACATTAAAAAAAATCAAGGGAAAGGATGGTGGGTCACAATCACAAAAACTTTAATTTAGTGACTCACTGTAGTGGTTTTACAATTACCCTGCCCCTTAGGCCTGCCCTTCCTGCCCAAACTTCTTCCCCTTTAGGAGAAAAACCATTTAGGAAAATAAACTCACGTCCCTCTGAGTATAGCATTGACTTCTATACATACATGTGACATTCAGTTGGAATTTGAGCATACAATTTTCAAAGTCTTTTACAAATTTTGAATTTATAAGTGCAGTACAGCTTGTCCTCAAGGGCTATGGAAAGTAAGATTTAGTATTTTCCATACATTTCCAGAAATTACTTGGACCTTGAACTAATTCAATGGATTAAAGTTGTGACAGATATTTAGTTAAACTAGAGACCAATTATTTTGAATAAAAACTTAAATATTCAGCCTTTTTTATTACTTTTATTTTCCTGAGGGTCAGGAATAACCAACTGCCAGCTTATAGGGGTCCATGAGGCTGAAACAAGAACATAATAAAATCTGAATAAATGAGTGTTAAATGCTTTATCTGAGGGTGATGTCTGTGCATGCTTGTGTTGTAATGGTGATCCTGATGTCATAATGAATTCATGATTCAGACGGAACCTTTGAAGGATTTAATCAATATAAAGTGCGTATTGCCATTGCTTCTGCTAAGTTTGAAAGAAATATTCTGTGAAAAATGCTGTAATTCTTTAGTTCTTTTCCGGCTCAAGGTTATCCTTAAGATCTACATCTTTGCTGTTGCTACTGTTCTTTAGGCATATTCAAAACATGAGTGAGATCAAGACTGACGTCGGACGAGCTCGGGCATGGATAAGACTGTCTCTAGAAAAGAAGCTCTTGTCCCAGCATCTCAAGCAGTTGCTCTCCAACCAGCCACTCACCAAGTAAGTGATAGCCTCTTAGACATTTCTGCTTCTGTGACCTGTGTGTCTGCAAAGCAGATTGCATTAGCTGACAAACTGGCTTTTTCAGCATGAATTGTTGATTTCTGTGCACCTGCATTCTTTCTTTCTAACAGGCATGTGTTTTGGACACTCCATGGTTTGATTTTACCTGAGAGGGCACACCAGACGTCACAGCCAAAGGCTAGATTGCTCTGTTCTCAATCAGAAAACTAACTAATCCACACAGGCTGACAGTAACATCCAAAAGACAGGTTGAATCTATGTAAACCATTTATATCATATTATAAAGATCACAACAAAACCTGAAGTAGTGGGAAAAAAAAGTCCACATTAACAGGTTTCTTCTGAGAGTCATGCCAGTGCTTACATTCAATAGTTTAGAGCCAGGAAAACCAGTTGAGTACATGTTAGTTAATTGTTGACTGTTTTGATAGGTTTCCCTTTACTGCATCAAGAAACCTTCTTAGATGAAATACATCATCCATATAAGATACACGTTAGAGTTAATTTGAAGGCTGAGGACGTAGTTCTCTAGAGCAAAGGTATGCAAAAAATTCAACAAAGATCTCAAACTTGACAGTGTGTTGGAATCTTATGGTAACAATTCATTCTGTAGTTTTGCATTTGTACACATCAGCATCGGACTACTTACCATGAGTTTTAATGTCCAAAGAATAGATTTAATAAAGAATGCAAAGTGAATTATAGCCTGTGAACCTGATCTTGTACTCTAAAACTGGCTACTCCCCTTACCCATCCCCTCCCATTATAAATCATTCATGGCCACTGTTGCCAAAGTACAAAGAAGAAAATTATAATGATCACTTAAAATCCTACTACATAAAGGTTGGGCACCTGGGGTGCCTGGCTGGCTTAATAGGTATAGCATGTGATTCTAGATCTCAGGGTCATGAGTTCAAGCCACATATGTGGCATATGGCATAGAGTTTAAGTTTACTTTACATACATACATACATATACATTATACATGTATAACATGTATACATGTTATACATGTATAATGTGTATGTATTATATGTATATGTATATATAATGTATATGTATTATACATTATATATGTACATATGTATGTATATATGTATGTTGCGTGCCTGGCTGACTCAGTTGGTAGAGCATGTGACTCTTGATCTCAGCTCAGGTTATGATCTCACCGTTCCTGAGATCAAGCCCCGTGTAGGGCTCCATGCTGACAGCACAGAGCCTGCTTGGGATTCTCTCTCTGCCCCTCTCCCTCCATCTTTCTCTCTCTCTCTCTCTCTTTCAAAATAAATAAATAAACATTTTCTACAGTTTAAATAAAAAAATAAAATTTTAAAAATTTTTAAAAAAGAATAAATTCCTACTGCATAAAGGTAAATCTCAAGTATTTCACATGTTTTCTTCTGTACTTCTATGCATGTTCTCTTACTTAAGATTATACTATATGTATTTAATATACCAAAAAAAAAGAAAAAAAAATGAAAGACTAAAGAAATGAAGAAGACAAATGACCAGATACTGTGGATGTAAATAAAGACTTACCTTCAAATTCTCATTCAGTCAATATCATTCAAAGAGTAAATATTTGAGCATCAGGCTCTATCCTAGGTGCCAGGGACAGTTTTGAACCAAATATTGTTCTTGCCTTCATGAAGCTTATATTTATCATGTGAGGGAGACACATAATAACATCACATAAATGGTGATCATTATGATGAAAAGTCAAATAGGTCAAGGGGATTAAGAAGGGTTTTGAGGGCCACCTAGGTGGCTCAGTTGGTTAAGTGTCTAACTCTTGATCTCAGGGTCGTGCATTCAGGTCCTTTGTTGAGCTCCACACTGGGTTTGGAGCCTACTTAAAAAATAAAAAAAAAATAAAAAAGATCATACTATATGTACAATTCAGTATCCTCCTATTTTTGCTTAGCATTTTATAAACATTTCACTATATTGTAAGAGCATAAGCTCTGAAGACTGAATGCCTTTGTTCAAATACTGCCTTTACTGTTCACTATTCTAATGACTTTGGACAAGACACTTAACTTTTTTGTGTCTCTGTTTTCCCCATCTATAAAGTGAGAGTGCTGGTAGACTTACCTCATTGGGGTAGTCATGAGGATTAAATGTATTAATAACTATAAAACACTTGGAAAAGTGCTTAAATGTAAGTGCTTAATAAAAATTATTTACTATTTTTAGTAGTAGTTGTGTTGTTAAAACTCTTCCTAAACTTTATTTTTTTTAAGACTTTTTTTTTTTTAACGTTTTTTTAAATTTATTTTTGAGACAGTGAGAGACAGAGCATGAACAGGGGAGGGTCAGAGAGAGGGAGACACAGAATCCGAAACAGGCTCCAGGCTCTGAGCTGTCAGCACAGAGCCCGACGCGGGGCTCGAGCTCACAGACTGCGAGATCATGACCTCAGCCGAAGTCGGCCGCTTAACCGACTGAGCCACCCAGGCGGCCCTCCTAAACTTTATTTTTAATGCTCACATAGCATCCCAATGTATGCATATGCCATAATATATCTTTCCTTTTACAAATAACTTTTTTTTTTTAAGTTTACTTATTTCTTTAGAGAGAGAGAGCACGTGCACATGCACACACATGCCAGTGGAGGAAGGACAGAAAAAGAGAGGGAGAGAGAATCGCAAGCAGGGTCCTTGGTATCAGTGTGCAGCCAGACAAAGGGCTTGACCTCATGAACTGTGAGATCATGGACTGAGCCACCCAAGTGCCCCTACAAAATAACATTTTAGTGGTCATTCATGAGTAAATCTTTGCCCATATTTCACATTATATTCTTAGGACAGAGTTCTAAAAGTAAAATTAATGTGTCAGAGGGTATGACTGGTTTAAAACAATTATTACCAACAAACTACTTGCCTGAAATTTTCAGCCCCATCAGCTGTAAGAATGGCTATTCATTGCACCCACACACACACTCCAACCTGGTCAGTACCGGTTAGCACTTTTTAAATCTTTATTAGTTTGATAGACAAAAATGGATTCATGGAGGTTTTTTCCTTTAATTGCTAGTTAAGTTACAAATGTGTCATTAACCATTTGTATGTGCATTTTTGTAAATTGTCTCTTCTTTCCAGGTGAAAGTTTCTACCTATACTGATTAAGTGAAGGTGTTTATTTTTAATGCAAGACATAATGAAAAGCATGAAAACTATACTATTATTTTGTGCTTGTCTTACCCGTTCCTAGGAAGCTTTATAAGCGTTATGCTTTTCTACGGTGTGAAGAAGAAAGAGAGCAGTTTCTTTACCATCTTCTTTCCCTCAATGCTGTTGACTACTTCTGCTTCACCAGTGTGTTCACCACTATCAGTAAGTCTGGAGAACTAGGTATTATTATTAGGTGAAGAGTTGCTCAGGTGACAAATGGAATAAGAGTTTATACTTTGAAAAGTGAGATATATGGTAGTTCAGTGAGGTAGACACTGTGGATGAGGTGGGCCCCAGACCTCTGTGTTGGAATGAAGGTTGTGCCCCAGCTTCCAGGGGTGCTGTGGGAGGGTGGCCCTCAGCTGTCAACCCCCATGGGGAGTCCTCACCAGAAGAAACTACCTTACCCCCAAGATGATCCCTCCTCGCTGGTCAGCCAACATCCTAGGATGATCATAGGGCTGCCCTGGAAATTACCATGGATCAGCTGAGGACTTCACTGTGACTGCATCACAGCTTAACTTCTCTCTCAGCCCATCCTGCTTTCTTCCTCGGGTGGTGATCCCAGGACGAACATCCTGCATGCAGATTTCTGACAGTCTGCTTCCCAGGAAGCCCAGTCTGCAGTAGGAAATGGGATGGATGTTAAAAAGGAATGTTTTATTAGGGATGTCTGACTGGCTCAGTCAGTGGAGCATGCAACTTTTGATCTCAGAGTGATGAGTTCAAGCCCCATGTAGGATCTAGAGCTTTCTTTAAAAAAAAAAAAAAAAAAGGAATGTTTTATTAAACAAATGGTCCAGTATCTTACACAAAACACATAAAATTTTTAAAAACCAGCATACTGAAATAAACGTATAGAACTGTGAGCATCATTAAACTTTGATGATTCAGAAAGACTTCAGGACCTTACTGGATGATGTAGGTATATAGAGGGAGGAAATGCTGACTGGAGATGTGTTTCTGATAGGAAGTCGAATTATAGCATTTATTCTGTTCACCATTACTAATTCTTTTTTTAAAAAAAAAAATAGAGAGAGAGAGCACAGTGGGGGTAGAAAGGCAGAGGGAGAGAATCTCCATGCTAAGTGTGGAGCCCAGTGTGGGGCTGAGTCTTACAACCCTGGGATCATGACCTAAGCTGAAATCAAGAGTGGTGCGCTCAACCAACTCAGCCACCCAGGCATGCCACCACTGTTTCTAATTCTTATGTGCAGTGGCCCCCCTTCCCCACTTGGAGAATTTTTACTTTGTGTCAGTTAGGAATTGTGTTTAGCTGCAAGAATCAGAAACTTGGAAAACAGTGCTTTAAACAAATTGGTAGTTTTATATTTCTTACATAATGAGAAGTTTCAGGATAGTCCACAGTATGTTCACAGACCCAGGGTCTTTGTCCCTCTCTTCCTAGACCGTTCTCAGTGGGTGCTAGCCATCTCATGGTCATAAGATGGCTGTTCTCAGTCCACCTTCTAACAGGAAGAAGGAAGAGTGCCAAGGAGAAAAGGGTAGAATCTGTGCTAGGAAAACAATTTTCCCCCCAAATCCCAATAATTATAACATTTCACTAGCCAAAAACTTACAGGTTTTGGCTTTCTAGTGTCTGACAGAGGCAGACAAGAAAAAATGGAGTTGAAATGGGTATTGAGCCAACCAGTAATAGCTGTCAACTGTCTGTTAGTATCTAAACTTTCAATCAGTTTAGTAAGTTACTGCTAGTATAAGAAGCTAACAAGGTATATACAGTTTTAAAAGAGAAGAAATAGCAGAGGTAGTTAGGACTCCTAAGATCCTACTTGTATCTGTATATTTCATGTAAGTAACTCTTTGAATTTGAAGAATTAAGATCTTCATGAAAGAAATATTTTTAAGTTTGGGACTCCTGGGTGGCTCAGTCAGTTAAGCGTCCTACTCTTGGTTTTGGTTCAGGTTATGATCTCACAGTTCATGGGATCCAGCCCTACATCAGGCCCTGCACTGACGGCACGGAGCCTGCTTGGGTTTCTTTCTCTCTCTCTCTCTCTCTCTGCCCCTCCCCTGCTAGTGCGTATGTGCACGTGCTCCCTTGCATGCTTGCTCTCTCAAAATAAACATTTTTAAAAAAGAAATATTTTAAGTTTAATAATATTACTCCTTTGATACTTTATGTAGTCGCTGTTGTGAGTCCGTGGTCTCTGCAGCCACAGAACTGCTGGTCCTAAGTCCCCCTTTTTTTTTTTTTTTTTTTTTTTTTTTTTTTTTTTTTTTTTTTTTTTTTTTTTTTTTTTTTGTAGCTTTTCTAATCCTCTCAGTGAAAGGAATGAGAGAAGCCTCTGGCACCTAAAATAAAGTCTTGCACTAACCTCTTCTGCTTTCAGTTTCAAAACTCATTTGATTCTGATGATTACTAAACCATGAAAGTGTGGCCTTTCCTCTGACATTTTCCTTTCCTTCAGCTAAAATAAAAAGACAGAAAGGGAGGTTTTATTTGCCCAACCTAAAGAAAGTCTTCTATATAAAATTAGGGAAATGAACCGTTTATCCCATTCATTTTCCTCATCTAAGAGTGCATTGAACCATGAGCTCATTCTCTGAGGCTGTATCTGGGCACCTTGTACAATAAATGTGTGTCATCGGGTGTGTAGATCATTCAAGGAGAGAGGGGTTCTAATACCCCCTCTTATGACTAAATGAGTAGAAATCCCAAGGATGCCAATAAAAATTGTACCTTGCTTAAAAACAAACAAAAACAAACAACTATGGCTCTGAGGGATAAAAATGTGTTAGTGTGTTTGAGCCATCCCCCTTTTTTAAAAGAATGGAGGGAGTGCGTAATGTCTATTTTGAATTGTCCTACCTTGTTTGAGCAAAAGGCAGTGATAGGACAGTGACATCTAGTGGTGTCCCTTTTGAAGAGCCTTCAGAAGGAAGAGGTTTCACACAGATCTCTTTCCACCTCTTGGTTCTTTCCCCCAGGGCTCCTTGCACGCGAGTCACCTTAATAGCTTTCCAAATTGTGATTTATAGACTTTTATGTCCAGAATGGCATTGTTTATTACTCTTGGCTTTGCATATTGTGCTGTAAAATTGGAATGGGAACATTCTGAAGCATTGTCCAAGAAGATTAGCAACAAAGGGATACAAAGAGACATTCACCCCCTTTTGCATATGAAACCAAATCAGCAACCATGCTCATGTGTACTTGATTTTGGAACAAAATTGAAACATTAAAGCAGGGATGCCTGGCTAGCTCAGCCAGTGAGGTACGTGATTCTTGATCTCAGGGTTGTGAGTTTGAGCCCCATGTTGGGTATGGAGACTACTTAAAAATAAAATCTTTCGGGGCGCCTGGGTGGCGCAGTCGGTTAAGCATCCGACTTCAGCCAGGTCACGATCTCGCGGTCCGTGAGTTCGAGCCCCGCGTCGGGCTCTGGGCTGATGGCTCAGAGCCTGGAGCCTGTTTCCGATTCTGTGTCTCCCTCTCTCTCTGCCCCTCCCCCGTTCATGCTCTGTCTCTCTCTGTCCCAAAAATAAATAAACGTTGAAAAAAAAAAAAAAAAAAAAAAACTAAAATCTTTCAAAAGACAAAGGAAATAAATAAAATATTAAAGCAGTAAAAATTCTATATAGCAGTCAGTTCTGATGTTAATGCCTGAGATTGTTTTTTATAAATGTAAAGATTATGGGGGCACCTGGGTGGCTCAGTCGATTAAGCATCTGACTTCAGCTCAGGTCATGATCTTACCATTTGTGGGTTCAAGCCCTGCATCGGCTCACTGCTGTCAGCGCACAGACTGCTTCAGATCCTCTGTCTCCCTCTCTCTCTGCCCCTGCCCTGCTTGTGTTTTCTCTCTCACTCAAAAATAAATAAGCATTTAAAGGAAAAAGGAAAGAAAAGCAAGGTTATATACATCACCACGGTAATACTCTGCATGCCATGCATACCTGGTGACATATAAACTGGACCTCCTATTTCTAGACTGGAAGAGGTGATCTCCTCTTTTTAAGTACTTCTTGATCATAAAGAACAAACTATCTGTGAAAGCCAACAGAGTCCTTAATAAATATTTGTTATAGCATCAGGAGATTTTTTTTGTAATGTTTATTTATTTTTGAGAGAGAGAATGCGCCAGTTGGGGAGAGGCACAGAGGATCTGAAGTGGGCTCTGTACTGAGAGCAGAGAGCCCAATGCAGGGCTCGAACTCATGAACTGTGAGATCATGACCCGAGCTGAAGTCAGATGCTTAACCAACTGAGCCACCTAGGTGCCCCAGTATCATGAGAATTTTATTGTAATTTTTAATTAATTTCAGCATGATTTCTCTCAGTGATTCCCTATAGGTCAGTGATTATCCCCATCAAAAAGCTGAGCAATGCAATCATCACATCGAATCCTTGGATCTGTGTATCAGGGGAGCTAGGAGACACGGGAGTAATGCAGATTCCAAAAAATCTCCTTGAAATGACTTTTGAGGTAAGTTCAGCTAATACCTTTCTTAGCAGAAAATGTCTTACATAGTTCTACACAAGGATTCCAGTTTTGCTTTTTTATTTTTCCTCAAATCAAATAATATAAAGGAGTACTCAAGCATGCAGAATCATTTTTGTGAGTATAAACCTAAAGTTTTAAACACAATAATTTGTTTTGTATTTTTACTGCGATTAATTTTAATTATTAGGCTGTATTTTTCTACTTTCAGTGAAATACTTTTGGACTTTGCAAGGTCCTATTCCATGATTCCCAGTGCCTAGCACAGAACCGGGCAAGTAGGGAGCATTCAAGTCCATGCTTTTCCTCTCTTCCTGACTGTCAAGTGCTCCCTGCCTGAACCTGGACAAAAGGACAGGAGAACTGACATACATCCATGCTTCTGGCTTGTATACCATATGGTGGCATTTATAGATTGATTCTATAAAAATACCTCTCAATATTGTAGTCCATTTTCAGGTCTCACCTGGTGAAGTATTCCCTTATCTCTGAGCCCACATGCAGGTTGATCCTGGCATGCAGGAAGAAGACAAATATGTGCTCTTGTTTCAGGAGGGAAGTAGCACTAACTGTCCTTTTCTATTCTTTATATTCCTTATGGAATAGCAGTTTCCACTCCATCATAACACCCCCAAGAACCTGTTTTGGCCCTGTTTATCTAATGGACTCACAGCCAGCCACCTGTATATAAAAGATTAAAACCCTTGTCTTTTCTTTGACTAGCAGGTGTGGAACATAAACTCTATATAAGTCCCATCATTATTGTTTCCAGACGCTGTCTCATATCTGTCTCCTTTTCCATCTATCCTGCCACAACTAATTCAGGATGCCATCCTCCCTCACCTGGATTGCTATCATGCCTTCTCTCTCACCTTGATACAAACAAGTGAAGGGCTTTAAGAATTCATAGCTCTGCTGTTCCTAACCATACATAATCAGTTGGGGGGTCTGTGATATTTTATCAGAGTTTAAAAGTCAGATTTTAATTGACATTTATTTTTACTGTCCTGTTATCATTGCTTTCTTTTTTTTTTTTTTTT